TAAATAATAATATAATCTCCATACGATAACAATTTTAGTAAGTAATCATACATAACATCACTTTGCATTTCGTATATTAAGCAGTTCGATTTGCACACTCTGATTATATTATCAGTGATTAGATTGATATCTTAAAACATTATCACGATAGATGTTGCATACACGTCCGCATATTGAAGGTCATTTGTGAAAAACAACCGACAGACAATATCATCACACACGTCTACTTTGTATCTAAAAAAGAATATACACCAACATATCCACTATTTCAATATCCATATGCATACCGGTCTGCGTTGTCTCACGGCTTACCGCTAAATGAGCTCCGGCTTTTTGAATGGTAGACTAGCTGGTGCCCGCGACTTCGTTCTCGTGGAATTTCAAAAGCGCTGCCTTGTGTGCGTGTTCGATGCCCTGATATGACAAAATTTTATAGGGTTTTTCTTAGAGAAAAAATAGCCTAAGTTTACTCCTTTAGACAGCTACGTGGTAGTAAAATAGTATCAAAATCGATCAAGCCGTTTTGAAGATTACACGGAACAAACAGATAGACAGACACACAGACAAAACCTGGTTTTTAGGCATAGGCGTGTAAATAACCGTGTGAGCATGAAAAAACCTACTACTACTGACTTTACAAACAGACACTACAATTTTATTTAATATGTATACACATAGTTAAATAAACAAGTACATGGGTCACCTGACGATAGGTGACTACCGCCGCCCATGGACACCTGCAACTCAATACTCACGCTTTCTTATCTCTTATATAAAATGTGTGAAACGCAAGCCGAGCATAAATTGATGTTTGTATACATGTTCGAAATAAAAATTTATCAAAAATACTGACGAACTATAAATCAAAATCTAAAGGATTAGGATCAGGACTAGATGACGGCCATCTTCCACTACGACGAAGTCAAAAATGGTCGTTTCCAACGTGGATGGATCCAGCTTTATGACCTGATGCTGAGTTTTGCTGGACGATATTCTATTCATACAAAAAAATACAGACGAATTGATAACCTCCTCTTTTGTGTTTTTGAAGTCGGTTAAAAATTACGCTTTATACCTACTTTGTGTAATCAGAGGCGGATCCCGGACTCCAAAGTTTAGTTGTCATTTCTTTCCAAGAGTTGTTTTTTTTTCATATGGATATGTGGGTACATACTCGTACATGGGCTGTCACCCCACCGGGTTTAGCGGTGAAGCGGTGTATCGGAACCGAACCGACTAAATTAGCTTTGTTATTTATATTGCGACTGAGATAGGAGAGATCAGATAACAGCTATTATTAAGACGTCCGAGCTGCTGTCTCCCCCAGGCCTGCATTTATGCAGGATGGAAGCTATTCAGCGACCTCCGCCGACTAAGACGACTACAGTAGGTACCTGACCCGTTTCCGGGTCCGGCGACCGGGAGAGTTCTAAGTCTCATCAGGTCCCACTCTACCCTGTTCTTCTCGAGCGTAACTTGATCGCAGAAGGAGGTGCACCATCGCTCCGTACCATGGCCGCTATCATGGTACCTATCTAGAGAATCCTCACTCTGATGATCGTCACGAGGCCACGCCTAGAATTACTGCAGCGTGTGGAGGGCCGTGTCCACGCTCATGCCACCCGAATGGTGGCACCCAGGCATTGGTTCCTTGCGGATGAGTCACAACCGGTATGAGAAGATCCCATGTTTCCTCTATAGCCAATCCTCCATAATAGGTCTTAGCACCACTATAATGGCGTGCCCGACGCTTAGTTGCCCAAGTCTTTCCCTCCACTCCCCAATGAGGGCCTAGCAGAGGGATTTCTGGTTCTCGATTTATCGAGTCCCGCGATCCCGACCAAGTACGGGTCCTTGTCTCGTGTGTCTCCAGAAGGCTCGTTGTCGATCGAGTGCCTTCTACTACGAGATTGTGTCACTCAGGTGGCCCTCTTTGAGGCTCATGAAAGAATAAAGTCTCAGATTTGTGCACAGACACCGCGAGCGTGTCGTCCGAGTAGCGCGTGATGGCGATATCATCAAAGAAGGCACCGCGGAGCACCCAGTCGTAGCCAATATTCCACAGGAGCGGCCCTAACACCGACCCCTGCAGAATACCGGATGACATTTCACGCCGACCGAGAACGGTGCTCTTGGGTAGATGACGGCTGCGAATTCCCTGTGGGCATAAACTTTCATTTAGAAGACGTCCACCAAACGAGGACGTCATCTCCTCGCGGTAGGCCTTAGTGGCGAGTGGGAGGGGAAAACCCGGCCACCTGAGACACTCAGGGCGACATGAAGCGCTGGAAGGTACCCCAGCTATGGAGCGTGTAACGGCTGGTATGGGGAAAGCCTCTCCGATGACTGCAATGGACGCAAGATGAAACGTTGACCAGTGTGTGCTGAGTCGAGTTTAAACTGCATTGCAGTGGTGACATACGAAACTCAATTCACTCCTAGCGATCGACTGCTGGTACCTTCCTAAGCAAATGTGCCCAGAAAAGATGTGCGTCAGTCGGTAGGAAAGGGTCCCGTGCTGCCACCCTGACAACTAGACGACGACCGGCTGGACAGCCTCTACAGCGAAAAAGCGAAAATACGAGTCATCATGGCTCGGCAAGCGGCCCTTAGCCTTTAAATCCCATGGCAGAGATCCGTCAGCACCCTCTGAGAGTTAGCACCCTTTATTCTGGGCAATCAGAGCTTCCGCCCACACTGTTACACCGTTTAGTGCCATAGACTGGACAACCCTGGTCTACCACTACAACTTATAGAGTAATCTCTACTACAGCTGCAGTTGTAGCAACAGCATTTTTGTGTAGAATCAATCTTCGTAGTTATCAGAAAATAAAGCAAAGAAGTAGTGGGAATTACGTAATATAAGTTCTAGGTGTTAAGCATCTCTTTAGATATTTTTTTAAATTAATTTTAGGATTTTTATGTTGTGTAAGTAGTTATGTGCATACTTACTGACACAGTTCTTTTTACGTTTTCTTTTTTCTTTGTGAAAAAATCTGCGCGCGCGTCCTTTGTAACCCTGCGCCCATAGGCACGTGCCTACTTTGCCTTAGGGTTAATCCGCAACTGTATGTAATGCTATCACAGTAATTGAGTTCTCTTTATCATCCCACTCCATTTTAATATCACAAAAATATTTAACATTGGCGCGAAAATTAGAAAAACAGTAAATATTCATATTAAAATGATAGATTCTAAAATCAAATGTAAAATTATGGTTATTTTAATTGTAACAGTATTTATGGCCAGATAAGTATATGTAGTATGTACTACATAGTAGGAAAATCTAATAAGATCCACTTTTTTTCTGTTGAATTGTACGTTCTTTGAAATACCGTTATATAGGTATTAGAATACATGGCGTAGCTTTCTTTTTGGTAACTCATTTTTTTGTTACATACCTACTTATTTGTACATTTTTTTTATTCTGTGACTATTCTTAGACAGTCATTTTTTTATGATAGATGGGGCTAACGAGGAGGAGTAGTATGAAAAATATCTTTATTTCAAAGAATAATAATTGAAATAGTCTCTTATGTAGACTATAAAGTCATAGATGACTCCAAAGTCATGGTTATAGACTATGTTAAATAATTACCTACATACCTGCCTTAAACCTATACACTTTGTGTCAAGTGATTACAGTTAAACTTTAGGATTTTTCATATTTTTATTTTATTTCATTCAATAGGTACAGATACAGACAACAGATCGAGACATACAAAGAGTGGCCTTAGTAATAAACAGTGAGCAAACCTGAAGTAAAATTACAACTGTACACAACTTTTAAAACAAACAATGCTTCATTTTTAATGTAGGTTAAGGTTAAATTTAAATGTAAATTTGTACAGTAAAAGATTTAAATGAAATAAAGAAAAAATGGATACCCATATAAAAAATACTGACCGTATTAAAGCGTTAGCTCTACTATTGTATTTAAAAATTATAATAATATAATATTTCAGTTTAAAAAGAAACTACTCACAACAAAAATGAGGTTACTACCATGCTTTGTGACGCCGAGTTTATGAATACGTTAGGAAGTGCGGCAAACTCCAAAGCCTTAATACATTGTTATAGATCTTAATTGATTTTTCTGCTTTATATTTATAAAGCATCAGAGGATTTGGATATGATCTTAGTTTGAGTATATAATAGGGTAGATATCTAATTTGTGTATATTTTATTCTTAATAGTGTTACTAAGAAATTAGAAGCTTAAGGTAAGTTCCCTCCAAGTGCTGAAATAAACTTAAGTTAGTACCTATCAAAGTTTGCATAGACCCAAACTGTACAAATTCCATGTAGGCATGCAGGATAGTCTTCATATGAAAAAACTAATTTAGTTTTGAGCATAGCATAGGCAGGTAAGTCAAGTCAGTCAGAAATAAGACTATAAGTAAGTACCTAAATAAAGTAAAGTAAACGAACTAACTGACAGACAATTCATAAATCCAAAATAAGTCGCTAACTTAAAACAAGGAATGAAGTAAAGAAATGAATATTGTCTCAATCTTTAGTGGTTCACGTGCTATTATGCAAAAGAGATACGAGTACAAGATCTTATGTAATCTTAAAATATAAAATTAAATCATTCCAAAGCATTTTCTTTTTATGGTGGTTTAGATTTTTAAGATCAAGTTAAAATACTTTTTAAAAAGTGTAAAATATATGGTAATAGATTGGGTGTGAACTATGAAAGGTATAGTTTTTGACATCAGCATGTCAATACTACCTGTTTGTGAGAGACACTTACGAATAAACAACCACTGACTACCTAAGTAATTAGACCATATCATAACGACAAGCAGCTGTCTATCAACAGATTATATCTGCAGCACATTTGCTGCTCAATTTATCGTAACTTCATCAATTATGATGTCTATCATAAATTAGGCAGCTGTGTTGATAAATTATTATGAAGTGACGTTTTGGTAGCAATAAAACTACTTAGACGGCTACCAAAAAACCAGTTGGCAAATTATTGTCAATGAAACGACAATGTTCCAAAAATATACAGCTTTGTTTCTTGTTTTCATGGTGGCTGCTTCTGCAGCAAACACCGTCAACTTATTGCAAGACTTGACATTAAGGCAATTCGACAGCGGGTGAGTAAGACACGTCTAATACAACGAAAAAGATGATGTATTGTAGGATTTTGGTCTTATTTGACTCTAGTCTTGGCTACTATGGTCAGGCTAATTACCAGGTCAGGTAATTTAATTAGTAAATTTAGTAAATAATATACATGATTTTTAATTAAAATTATGGAAAATATATTTCTCTTTAGTTGCCTCTAGATTTATCTCTTTAAAGCTCTCTCAGTGAAGGCTGAAGAGGCGTTAACGTTTTTCAATTTCGCTAATAGTGGCATCTGATATATATTATTTGTCAAATTTGACTCTTTGTTTCATTTATTAATAATATATGAATAATACATACTATAATTATATTCAATACGTATGTGTACGTTTTGACTAATGTTCAACAGTTAAAAAATTGACTGTCTTCGTCTCATTTGTTTTATGTAGCACAAGCTTTTCCCCGTGGCCCTGCCCGCGTGTATGTTAGTTTTCGCGGTAAAAAGTAGCCTATGTCCTTTCACAAGAATCAAAGTATCTACATGCCAAATTGCTTTTTTTTAACCGACAGGTACAGTAGTTTAACAGACAGACAAAGTTACTTTCTAGACTCTAATCTTCAGATCTATTGTCATCGTTTACTTGCCGGAGAATTTCAAAGTACCTTAAGCCACTTCAATTCTTCTTTGTAAATATTACCTACTTCATATTTTATGCAATTTTTTTTTTTTTTTGTAATGTGCTTGTTTTAATTAATTGTGCATAGTAGAGAAAACAGTACAAGAGTAAAACATCTACTAGAGAAGGAATGAAAAGGGAGTCTTATGCCATCTTCCAAATTAATAAGATCCTATTAAAATAATTTGTTTTAATGTAACCACTTACAGGCATTTCTGAATTGTCACGATTTTTATGTTAACTCAGAGACACATTGTTTACAGTAGGGCGTTCACTTCATGATCGACAAAGATATTTGAAAATGAATTGTATATCTTTCAATTTATGTAGGCAATAAATGAATAACGCCTTGAGAGTGAAAACACGGCGCTTTAGGCCCAATTTACAACACCGCGGAATGGAATGGAACGGAAGCGTCAATTTCGGCTCATGACACTAGAAGGCGCGCGAATGCCCGCGCATTCCAGCGAAATCGCGTGACTGCGCTTTGCGTCGTACTACTGTGACCGTCCCGTTATGTATGCTATGTACAATTTCGTAGCAAAAAGTCGCTTCCATTCGGCGGCGGTGTAAATTGAGACTTTTCAATCAAGATGAACAGAGATTAACAAAGCCGTCATTAATTTTTCAGAGCTAGATTTTTTTTTTCATCAGGCTGGAAAACTTAAAATCTTACGACAAATATTTTAAAACAATTTTTACTTTCAGTGATATCTTCCAAGAAGGCTTAAGTGCCAATGTGAACCACTATATTGATGAGACTCTTTCACTAATCGTGCCCTTTATCCAGCGGAATGGACTGGACCCTATGCCATTACCAAATGTCCGAGAAGGATTTCAAGTGGTCGGTGTTTTTATTTATTTTATTACGCAGTGGTAGAAAGTAGATCAATACAAATAGATGACTGACGAAATAATAACTACTTAATAGTATCAGTGTATCACTTATATTCGGTTTTATTAATAAAATTAGTTTTATAAGTTTTTATCCTACTTCACTCTAAATCATAAAATACATTTGTAAAAGTTCAATCAGTATCTTTCCTATAATTGAGTATTTACTTTACATTATGAACTGTTGATTCCTTGCAGAGACCCTTATGGGTAACATACAGCGCCTGGCTGAATCTTTACGAAGGTCAGATGTCTGGGTTGGTTAATGTAGCCCGTTCTGGTGACCAGAAAGTATCATACAACGGAAGAAATCTGAGTGTTCGTATTCAGCTTGAATTTACTAATCTTGAGGTAAGTCCTTGAATAATAAGTTTTTGAACATAGTTTCTCGTTTTAAGTTGGTTTTACCTGTAATGGGTAATCCAGCGTTGCGCTTAGGTCAAATTTTAAGATCTGAAAATATATAGCTTGTATTGTATTTGTTCGGACCTATACCGGTTGCAGATTGCCGCTATCGCACGACGTGGCGAAACTTTCAGCCTCATCACCTGAATCATTGACAGTTCAACACTGTGCGCTTTTCAAGAAACTTTTTGCTTGACTACCAGATGTGGAAGAAATTGTCGACTGTGGTATTTTAGAACAAATAGGGCCAACAATGGCGAACCAATGCATAATTTCATGAAATGATCATTGTTCCACTTTAAAGATAGGCAATGTACTTGTGACGCTTGAGTTGTTCGTGGTCGAGGGTAGTAACCCGTTAGTTCGTTTGCCCCCTACAGGGGCGCAACAACCCTCAAAAAGTAGGGGTGTCATTTTTTTTTATTAGTAAAAAAAAAAATAAGGTCATCAAAACACTTTATTTACGTTTTTCAAAGTATTGTAAGGCTTGCTAAATAATTTGGTATTACGATAAACACAATACGATAGACTTTTATTTTTTTTGCAACACTGCTTATGACACAAGCAGGCAAGCAGCTATTCACACGTAACGGACTCCTCGGCGCATCATCTCCGAGCTCCCTGGGCTATGTGGGGATAGCTGTTTGGGGTATAGGACATCCTGGGTTATGTGGGAATATGTGCTTGCCCGTCTGTTCTTGCGACAGACTGGGGATAGACTCTTTGGCGCACCGTCTTCTGTGTTATGTTGGGATATTTAGACACCCTCGAAGAGGGTATCCACAGAATTTTAGGGGTGTTCAGACACACTGGACACCCCCTGTTGTTGCGCCCCTGGCCCCCTATATCATAAAAATGCATTGGGAAAAAAAAGTACACGTGACCTTTAACACTGGAGTCTCGTTGTCATGTTAGGCGAAAATTTTACACTGTTTTCTATTAAAATCTATAAAATGTTTTTGGTGGAATTTCACTTCTTTTTGTAAGTTTCTTATGACATTTTTTTTAATTTACAACAAGGAGTCAAAAGAGCACGCGACCTTCAACACGGGAATGTATGTTGGACGAAAATTGTAGGCTGTTTTCTATTAGAATCTATAAAAAACATCTGTAGAATTAAATGCAACTAAATAAATTATATATGTGATTTCTTTCCAGTTCGTCTACAAATATCTAGTGCAAGTGATGGGTATTGGGCCAAGCGGTGGCATCAATGGCTCACTTAATCGCTTCATCATAGTTTTTGACCTTCTCTTAGACTTCAACGTCGACGAGATCCATGTTCAAGACTTCAGGCTTATTAATAATGGGTAAGTACCTTTACCAAATTTAAATAAAAAACCGATCAGATACGCCGCCGGTAACCGAGGGTTCCGTACCTACCCAGATTTTACGTAGATTTTTGCGAAAATTTGTAAGTACCAAAATTTATCTTAATTTTCAACTTTTTCTTTTTGAAATTATTTCTTTATTTTTGCTGTAAGGAGTTTTTTTTTGCCAAATTTCGTGATTCTAGGTCAACGGGAACCACCATATAGGTTTTCGACCCAAAACCTAGGTATAGGGTACTTCCGGTTGACCTAGAATTGTCAATTTTAGTTAAAAGCAAGGTCTTACAGTGCAAGTAAAATTTTAAAATAAAGAAAATTTTAAAATTATGGTAAATTTTGGTACTTACATGTTTTCGCGAAAATCGAAATTTACCCATTTCTTTTTATCGTGTTGACTCAGGTTGACCTTGATTTCTATAATAGGGACCATAGACCTCAGTATCTGGTATAAATTTCAACTTGCTAGGTCTGACCTGAACCCGTTCCTGAGAAAATCGGTGGTGACACACGGACAGACGGACAAGAAAGTGATCTTATAAGGGTTCCTTTTTTACCTTTTGAGGTACGGAACCCTAAAAAGAGATTGCAATAATTATTTTGTACTTGCTTTCGGGCTATTTATTAGAATGTTTACGCTTATCAGAATATTTATTCTTAAATCAGGTGTCCTTCGGGAATGGCAGTATTGTAAGTTAGTTTACGTATATTTGAGTAATCAAATATAGGCCAATCGTTAGCCGCTGAACTGTTTGGTAGGATCGTTAACAGCTGAGCTGTGGGGTTGATACTTGCTTAGTTTTGTTTAATACCAGGTTTTTCAAACGTTTTTAGAAACTTAAATCAATTTCATGAGTTTTCATTTATATTTATTTTTGGTTCGCAACCGCTAATGTGAAACAAGTTGAGACTAGTGTATTAATAAATAACTAGAGATTACCTGGCGATCGAATTTCGATCGTTTTAAATATATTGTTTACCAGCTGGTACCCGCGACTTCGTTTGCGTGGAATTTGAAAAGCGCTGCCTTGGTGGGTTCGATTCCCGGACCGGGCAAAATTTTAAAGGGTTTTCTGAGAGGAAAAATAGCCTAAGTTACTCCGTATATAAACAGCTACCTGGTAGTAAAATATTATCAAAATCGGTCCAGCCGTTTAGAAGATTACCCGGAACAAACCGGCAGATAGACAGACAGACAGACAAAAAATACTAAACTGGTTTTAGGCATATGTATCCTGCAAATAACCGTGTGAGCATAACAAAACCTATTATTTTGACATTACAAACAGACACTTCAATTTTAATTATTTGTATAGATTTTGATGACGAGTATAACTTAAACTGTCATTGTACAGACTTATGTGCCCCAATAGTTCCTCTATGAGGTGTTTTTTACATAAATTATAACTCTATAGCACAAAAAGTATATAGTATATTGTAGTAGCATATTGTTATAAAGATTAAGTATTCCAAAAATTTCAGTTTTGATGTTGTAAGGTTGTATACCTACTCTCCGAAAATCTAATACCTAATGTTTCTTTACAGAAATCTCCGAGTACGTTTGACTGGCAACTGGCTGACTGACTGGTTGGTAAACCCCGTGGTCAGCCTCTTTGTGAGGATATTTAACTCGACTATCTTGAACACAGTGCAATCCAACATTAGAAACCTAATCCAAAGTACAGTTGACGGCATAAACAGCAACTTAAGGCAAACCATTGAACGCCTCGAATCATATAACTATGCGTAACGTTTTTACGTACTGAATTTATTTGCATTAAATTGTATTTAACATGACTAGTGTTAAAGTTTTATTTATTGAACCATCACATATTAATAATAACTTGAACAGATTTTGTTGGTTATTTTACCAAAGAGGCTCAAAGACAACGCGAGAGAACTAGTAGTTCTCCCACGTTCCCAACCAGAGGCAACGGACGCCGTAGAGTGCATGATGGTCTCCGGCCTCCTTCGCTGACTCTCTGAGCTAGGGATGTAAGATTGTGGTAAGCCAAAGCTGGTACAGTACTGTCGCTAAAAGGCTCTAAAAGCTTTTATTTGAAAAAAAAAAGTTAGTGTGATCACAATAACGTTATATTAATAAAAATTAGACTTGCAACGAATAGTATATTCGGCAGTATACCGAATACCGAATATTCGGCGAGGCCCCTGACCGAATAGCCGAATATTAGGCAAAAGTATTCGGCTGAATTTTAGCGCCAAAAACTTGTATAGACGTGATTGTTTCGCCCGCGCGCCCGCTGTTGCTCTGCGCGGTATATTGCTAACGCACTGCATGTTTCGACAAGTTCATTTCGTGGATATCGTATTAGCTAGCCATACACGCACAGATCTGCCCGCCGGATCTGTCCGACAGACGTGCCTGGCGGACAGATCCGTGCGTGTATGGTGAGAACGGACACGGATTTGCACGCCCGGTGCCTGCCCGCTGCCCGTGGTCAAATCGAGCGGATCGGGCACGGGGCGGGTAGATCCGAGCTCCCAACTGTGCGTGTGTGCGTAGCGACGGATGTACCCGCCAGATTTGACGTCAGTCGCGCTCTAACACTCGAAGTATGGAGGGTAGAGGTAAGGAGAACCATCTCATATATTAAAAAGTGTCCACTGAAAGGCAGCAAATTAAGATGGCGCCACAATAGCAAGTGGGTGGAAAATTTAAAAATAGCGCCACAGACAATGAAAGTAGGATACGATTAAAGAAGGGAAGAAGCTTTCCCATTGCTTCTACACTAGTTTAAAAAGACTAGTTTGTACAGACGACCGTATTTGCTGGCATTACGATCTGAACTGCTGCCCGTACTCGTGTGTGGCGAATCACGGATCTGCCTGTCGGACAGATCCGGCAGGCAGATCTGTGCGTGTATGGCTAGCTATTACGTTAAGTACAGTTTATTGTGCTCTCTAAGTTTTGATCTGTTTGTAAGTGTGATAGTGTGAAATTTAACAAATAAACAATTAAATAATTACGGACGTACTTTAATAATAAAAAAATCGATTATGGCCTTTAAAAAAAAATCGCCTATATGGATACAAAATGAAAAATCGCCTATACTTCGAGGATGATGTAAATGATCCAAAAAGTGCCGTGTGTAAACTGTGCGAAATAAAAATTTCTCGTGGTGGCGTTAGAAGAAAGGCGACAACATCGGGAATGTTAAATCATTTAAAAAATAAACACAATAAAGACTATCATAAGTTGGTACCCACGTTCCCTAAGGGGCAAGAAACTACAAATCAAGATACGAATGTAAGTAATAAACCTTCAAAGTCAAAAAAAACAATTAACTCTTGAAAAATGTGCAGAAATTAATAACTATGGGATATTAATGACCCCCAAGGCAAAAAAGTACCATGTGTTAATTGCTGAAATGATCGCACTTGATAATGAGGCAGTAAATATAAAGGGCTGGTTTTAGAAGACTGATTAATAGCGCTTTGCCGCGGTACAATATACCAAGTCTCCTTACTTTTCAGACAATGTGATTCCAGAAATTTATCGTAAAGTGGTTGAGAAAATTAAAAGTTTACTTTCAGAGACAGATTATATTTCCGTAACGACCGACATGTGGACGTGCTTGCATAATCATAACAGTTTTTTAAGTTTTACTGCACATTTTATTGACCGCCAATTCAACCTCAAACATGTAGTATTGAGCATCAAGCATTTTGAGGGACAACACACAGCAACGAATATAGCTATGAGTTTACAAGAAATTGCAAATTTGTTGGACATCCGTGAAAAAATTTATATTGTTATTCATGATAATGGACGAAACATAGTAAAAGCTGTTAGTGATGCAGAGTTGGCCTCAGCACGTTGTTTCATTCATACTATTCAATTGATTGTCAATGATTGTCTAAAGGTTCAGTTAGATGTGACTCAAATGATAGCTACAGGTAGAAAAATCGTAACTCATTTTAATCATTCTGGTACTGCACAAGAAAAACTGCATTCTGTCCAAAAAGATTTGGGTCTCCCTCGACATGAATTAGTCCAAGATGTTAGCACGCGTTGTAACTCTACATATTATATGCTCGAAAGGCTAATGCAACACAAACGAGCCATTTCTGTCTATCTGACGGACTGTCATATTGCCAATTTGACTGCTGCACAATGGGAGCTTTTGGAGCATCTTTTAAAATTATTGCAACCATTTGAGGAGATAACAAAACTTATAAGTTCCGGCTACGCTTGCATTTCTGAAATTATTCCGTATGTTGCTACCTTAATGCGATATTACAATAAAATGAGCAAGTCAAAAGAGCTAACACCCAAATTAAGCCAGGCAATACTCGTCATACAACAAGGGTTACAAGAACGATTTGATGACATTACAACGAGTAAAAATCATTTGGTTGCTACCTTTCTCGATCCAAGACTTAAAATGAATGTTTTCACCAATCAACTGCAAAAAGAAAAAGTGAAGCAGTATGTATTAATCGATAGCATAAAAATGAGTTGTGAAGAAACAAGCGACGATAGCGCGAGTTCGTTCCCTACTTTGGCCAAGAGGATGAGAACTGAAGAGCAAAGTCTAAATCAGACTATTCACTCAACTTTTATCGATTGCTTCGAAGAGCTGATAGCAGAAAAAAGCACAGCTTCTGGAAACACATCAACAGAAAAAAATGCAGTTTCAACAGAAATGGATCTTTTCTTAAATATTAGTAATATATCACATCATGACAACCCGTATACATGGTGGCAAGTTGAATTTCCGTGTTTGATTAAGATTGCAGCAAAATATTTGTCGGCGCCAGGAAGTAGTGTTTATTCAGAGCGCCTTTTCTCTGAAGTTGGGATGGTCTACGAGAAAAAAAGAAGTAAACTACTTCCTAAAAATGCAGAAAAGTTAGTCTTTCAGCACCATAACCTTCCCCTTCTAAATTTTGATTATGAAAATAATTCAAATGCATAGAAAAATTCTTAACTTGTTTACAGAAAATGATTAAATTATGTATCTGTTTTATGTACCAATGACTACTTAATAAATGATTATAAAAGAAATGAGAACCTTACCCTTCTAAATTTTGATTACCGCAATAATTCAAATACATAGAATCCTTCATTTTTGCAATTCAGAAGATGATTATGTACAATGACTACTTAAATGATTATAACAGAAATGAAAATATGAATATATACGTAATCAATCGATTTTAATTTTTCATTTTACCAATTATTTCTCTATGACAAAATATATTATTTAAGTATTCGGTATTCGGCCGAATAATATGTAGATGTTCGGTATTCGGCCGAATATAATAAAAGCAGCCGAATAGACCGAATACCGAATAGTAACCGAATATTCGTTGCAAGTCTAATAAAAATACTAATATTAAATCGTTTATTTTGTATGTTCTTTTAAATGAAATTTTGGATTATCGCAGAAATTCTTGATTATTTGAACAAAGAATCATTCCTGATAAAAAATTGACAAAAATAGTTATTATTAATATTTTAACTAATAATAATTCTTCTTACATCTCTTCTTAGATCTTATAAATGTCTGTACATTAAAAAAAAACAACCGTGAGTTTTTATATTATAGAACGTGTGATGTATCTTTTAACGAATCTGCAAACCACATGTTCTACACTTTATTTCTAGACGATTTGCAAAATATGAACAAAAAATATTCAGTGGTTGAATTCAACAGGAATTTTTTTCTGCAATTGCACGTATTTTGAAAAAAAATAATATCAGTAAAATCAGTGAAGTGAAATATTTAAGCCCTTTTAAAATACGCTTCCGATTTGACTGTGAATCGGCTGCTCAAAACCTTCTATGTACGAGAAGCTTTTAGAGAAAGGATGGAGGTTCCAAAAGGCTATGTAGCTGTCTGTTTGCTATAGAATAATTGAAGATGACCTCGATTTAACTGATGACGAGATTCACAAAAATATTTCTTGTCCGGCCCCTGTAAAGCTACTATCTTTTAAGAGGCGAAGTTTTACCTTACGTACACCAAGTGTCACAGTATTCCCAATGTTGGAGGTTAGGTCATGTCCGGAAAATATGCATCTCGAAAAGCGTGGTTTGCCCGAAGTGTGGCGGGCGTCATGAAAATTGCAATACTACAAAATTTACTTGTGTCAACTGCAAAGGTAACCACATATCGCTCAGCAGGTCGTGTCCAGTTTACAAGAAAGAAAGAAAGAAGACTAAGAGAGATGATGTCTGAGTTTGGATGGACATATAAGAAAGCTCTGGAGTGTTAGGTGCCTCCCAATAATTCCGGCCCCCCCGATACTATCATCCCTCCAAAAATTTCGCTTACCGTTGCCTTTCCTCTACCCCTCTTGAAGACATGTCCATACAAACCCAAAATCCCACCTTTGCCGAAGTAATAAAAACAAAGGCTACAGTACACAAGGTACAAACTCCTGCCACGGCTACTCGTAGTAGGGACAATGATACCCCAAAACCACAGAAAAATAAAAAGAGCCCTCTTAAAGAAGACTGGATGTTTTGGACTGCAGATACAGACGAAGGAGATGCTCACCAAGTGTCTCATGATGAAGAAAGTAAAGATAAATGCCCTTCTTTCAAAGAGTTGTGTTCCAGAATAAAGGAAGTTATATATCTCAAAAAGACTGGTTTAACAAGTAAGATAAGGTGTGTTTTTTAGCTGTGCTTAGAATGGTTAACCCTAGTGTCAGTGAGTTTTGTTTCAGAGTGGCCGTGGATAAAAGCACTGTTTAACCTTTTTATCCATTGTGATGGCTAACAAATCACTTAAATTAAATATCTCTCAGTGGAATGCCCAAAGTATAAGGGCAAAGCTGGTATCTTTTTATGAGCTTTTGTGTCAGGAAAAAGTACATATTGCTGCCGTTAGTGAGACATGGCTCCAACCAGAAAGCAATTTTAAAGTCAGTTATTATGATATTTACCATGAGACATGACTCATACGGCGGTGTAGCTATCATAGTACATAAATCTATTAAGTCGCAGTTACATCGCCTTATTGTCAATAATAGCGGTATTAAGGTAGTGTGCGTGCAATTATTTAACTGTGAGCCACTTGAGAATATTGTTACGATTTATTGGATAGTCTGTTTTCATTACTGCCTTCTGAAACATTAATTCTTGGTGACTTTAATGTACATCATGCCAGTTGGTCTTATCGAAGTGACCGCAGAGGCATTCTCATTCACGACTTAATAAAAGATAACAACTTTATTACTTTGAATGATGGAACACATACACGAGTTCGATTAGCTGATAACAACTTACAACAGTCCTCCCCAGATATTTCTCTGTTTTCTATAGATATAGCGTTAAGCTTTAATTTTTACCGTTTTAAATGAGATTCTCGGAGCGACCACTTAATTATTAAAGTTTCATCGTTGTGTACCTCATGCTTTCCTTCAGTTATTAAAAGCAATTTTGGAAAAGCAGACTGCGCCTCATATAAAAAATATTAAGAAGAAAAATTTCAAAACTTGTGTTTATCAAATGACCTTCAAAAAGCGTGTAATTCATTTTTATAAAATCTGCTGCTAATCTGCTAGCTAAAAGCTGCTAGTAAATTCATCCCGATATTTAAATTTAATCAAAACCCTACTTCAAATTTCACTCGGAAACCATACTGGACTGCCGAACTGTCACAAGCTGTGGCTCATCGTAGGTAATCTTTATCTAAATTTAGGCGTAATCCCACAACCTTGACACTCTTAAAAGTAAAATAAATACATCTCAAAAGTTAATCCGACAGGCTAAGAGAATGAACTTTCAAAGCTTCTGTTCCTCAGTTGATTATACTACATCGTACTGCGAAATGTGGCGCTAAATGATGATTTCAGCATCCTTTTACTGGACAATAGTGCTGACACACATTTGATTAAATTAGACAGATTACAAAACATTTGCTTGTGGTTAATTGGTGGGTTTATTAAAAAGTAAGCCCATTCACGTGATGGAATTCGAATTAACATTGCCTCTTCTTTTTAGACGTCGCCGATATTTAGCTTGTAAATTTTATTTAAAATCTAGGTGTTACGATTTACCTTTAATCAATTTACTGCATAAGCTTCATGGTTTTTCTTATAATAAGCCTTATCGGATAAATTAGAAAAAAACACTGTTAATTTTGTTTCACGATGTTCTCAAGCAAGAACATATGCACTGCAGCAATAATATTGGCATGTTCTCAATGGTCGCTTGGGTCAGCAATATGGACTTATCCGAAATTGTAAAGCCTAGTTTAGATTAAATAGATAAACCTAAGCATAGTTATAATGCACATAACCATAAATCAATATGTTGTAAACATTGATATACAAAAAAACCCTTTTTGTAAATCAATGGTTGTAAATCTTTAAATTCACAGTACTCTGGCTTTCACTGTTTGTATACAGATGGTTCTAAAATAAGGTGCTTCTCTTAAATTCCATAATGTATCTTCAAAATAATTAATGCATTTGGAGCTGATTTGCTATAGCTGAAGCTTTGGCTTATGTGGAATCTTTGGACGTTGATTGATTGGTCATTTTCACTGACTCAAAAAGTGCACTTCTCCATCTGATGAAATACACGAGTGCTTCATCTTTCGAACAATAACGAATAATAACTGAATCTGTTGAGAAAGGTAAAAAAAGTATATTACAGTGTATTCCATTTCATATTGGGTTGGCAGGTAATGAGATAGTTGATCGTCTGGCAAAAGAAGCAGGATCTGATGGAGAAATGTATTCTTGTTCTCCATGGTATACTTTGGTTAGAGACAGATGTTTTCAATCATGGACAGAATAATTCGATGAAAGGTCTTTGACTAAAGGTATCTGGTATAGAACTATTCAACCCTGTCTTCCTCGGGTGCCTTGGTTCAATAAGGGTAAGATGAACAGGGAAGAAGTTGTGACAGCTTTGAGGCTCCGATCTGGTCACATACCGCTCAACAGCTTCGGATATATGATGCGCAGAGTTGATTCACCAAGTTGTGATGTATCTTGACGGAGTGTGCTCGTGTGGGAGTCGTAAGGCGTCAATCTTTTGTTAATAGCTCTAATGTGGGATTCTATAATAGCGTTCTGGTTTCACCATTGTTAGATGATCCTAGAACGCTTTATCATATTGTTATTATAGGTATAGGAATGCGGGTAGGCTAGACTAGTATAATTAATTATTTTTGTTACATTGTATGTGTAATTTAATTGTATACAATCATCGGGGTGACATATTCTTCTCAGAAAAAACCCCGAGACATCCAAAGTACCTAATTTTTTAAGGAGCGACACGTACTGCCGGGCCCGAAGCTAGTCGAGCATTCCCAAAAGCACGTGAATGAAATCGTATTTTTAATAAATAGATTTTAAAAAGCAAGTAAAGTTATTAGTAGGTAGGTAATAAGAATGTAAAGTTCGCCGGCGCCGGCAGCGTCACTTTGATGTCGCTGACATTGCAACGCTGCCGTGTACAGGTCACCGACTCATATTAATAACTGTGTTCTAATTCGGCAATTATTTTATTCTATTTATTTTGTTATAAATATGTATTTCTGTATTTTCGTACAATTTTATTTTAACCGGCGTATATTGAACCGTGTTATCTGGTTTTTCAGTTTTTGTGATAACCTTCATAACATACTGTATTGTGATAAGATCATTATTCATGGATAATTCGCTCAATTAATAAAGTTAATCTAAAGTAAGTTACTCAATGTGTCAAAAATAAATATCATTATGAACAGTAAATTTTTCCAATAATCAATGATGTAACTATGACGTACAGCAAGATCTTATATATTGTTAGAACCAAGTTTTTTTTTAAATGTATGATCAATGTCGAAAGTTTGTATTAATGCGTACCAATACAATATTTAGTTAGTGCATGGTAAAATGGACCCTTAAAAATGTACGTATACCTACTTTTGTATATATTACCGTTACTTAGTCATATAAATATAGATGTGCCACAGACTTGCTCGTATAGGTGTCAGTTGCTTTTTGCTACGGGTTTTTAAAAACTGCCTAGGTATTTTTGCTGCCATTAACAGAATGCAGGTTCAATTAAATCTCTGTCACGCTCACCCAGTGTAGATATTGTCTTACTCTTTATATAAAGTTAAGTCTGTCTTGCATAGGGCAATACCACAAAAGTACAAAAGGAACGTTGTAGTTTCTATTGTCTTTTTCACTTTCACATAAAGTTCGATTTTTTTTCTTTTTAATTAGTTGTTATGATGTTAATATGCCTATGCTATTACTCTTCGGGGTAAAACAAGTTTTTATTTGTATGTTGAATGTTATTTATTTACGATTCTTTTAACAACATGACTTTTCTTTTAACAGCATTGGTGTAATAATCTATCTAGATAAGCTTAATCTGTTTTGTAACTGCATTTCCTACTTTTTATCTTAGGTGCATGTCGTGGCAGCCTTTTATTAAGGCTACACTAAAAAATTTAAAAAATGTGGTGACCCTAATATGTATTTTAGTTTATGCTTTATTGGTTGTCCTTAAATAAATAAATAATTACAGTATAAAGTCGAGAAAGCTTGCTCCGCTCGCATGTTGACACTTATGATGGTGGTTATCATCATACTAGCTAACCCGCGCAACTTCGTCTGCGTCTCTCAATAGTAATAAATTTTCTCCGTTTTTGAAACATTCTTCATTGGTGCTCCGCTCCTATTGCTCTTAGCGTGATGATATATAGCCTAGATAAATGGGCTATCTAACACTGAAAGAATTTTTCAAATCGGACCAGTAGTTCCTGAGATTAGCGCGTTCAAACAAACAAACAAACAAACAAACTCTTCAGCTTTATAATATTAGTACAGATTATAAAAACCTGTAATATTTTGACATCAATGCACTCCGCTCCTCCGGCAATAACCGAGATTCACGCATCTCGGTTATTGCCGTAAAAAGCAGCTTATGTTACACGCTGGTAATGTAACATTAAATTGGTGGTGGCTTAGTGTGATAGCATATCAAAAAATAAACAAACAAACTCACTTTCACGTTTATAAAATTATGGATGTAATGTTTGTTAGTTTAAGTCAGATCTTGAATGCTAAATTAAATCGCTTACTCTTTTCATATGAAGTTAAAGTTTTTTAGATTCTTTATCCAGAATTGAAATCTTCAATGGTCAACACTACAGACATAAAACTTAATGTACTTACGTACGTACTTAAGTACATAGACTTCCATGTAACGAACAATTTTTTGAACTATTAAAGACAGCGGAAATCATACTTCAATGTCATCTAATGCTCGTTTTGTTTCAAAAACGAGAAATATAAAACTTGATAAAGACTTTTCAGGGCTTTTGGCTTTTGTATTCAAAGTCGAGAACGTAATAATGTCTTAGATGATTATATTTTTATGTATGGTAAGTCTTTCAGACGAGGCCTTAGCCATTGCGAGGCCCCGGGTAGATAGACAGTAGACAGCCGGAGAATAAGGGTCTTTATAGGGGTGAGAACATTTAAATTATACACATTTAACACATAAGGCTCAATAACGAGACGACCGAGAATTTGTTACTTTTTGTCACCAATTCTCTGTCAGATTTCGATAATAAGACTGATGATCCTTTTGCAACACTTAGTTTGTAGGTTAACGTAAACATTTGTAGGTACATGTTATTGCGCAACCCGTAATTGCTTGTGCAATATTTAAAAAACAACGCAATATTATCAAGTGATAAGTTTACGCGTTAAGATTGTTTACAAATCACTGTAACCATTGTGTGTAAAATTAACACTGATAAGGTTTACATAAAATAATTAAGTATATTGTAAATAAGTTAGGTAGATCTTAAAAAAAAAATTGTTGTGTGAATGGAATGCAATCTGTACGGGGTATATAATTTAATAAAGGTCTACTAAATATTTATTGCTGAAAAGTTTTACCTAGTCTTGTCATAAATATTGTTACAAGGAAACAAAAATCTTTTTTTCTATTCCATAAAAATATTATTACTGCAATTTGTGTACAAAAGTTGTTGTGTTGAGTCTGGGTGTCCTGGACACAGGATATATTCTGTCATATTATTTCGTTCAGTATATGTCCACCGTTAAAAAAAAGATGTCTCCAGAAGTCAAACTTAATTCAATCTTCTAAAAAAATCTATTAAAGCAGACTTAAGCGCATAAAGTGATTGGTGGTGGGTTTCTTTGCTTGACACACCTTCCGAATACATCCCAAGCATGCTCCATAGGGTTGTCGTCAGGACTACGTACTGGCTACTCCATACGTCTTATGCCGACGTCTTGATGTAGGCATTTGGAATCTGTGCCGTTTGTGGACGTGCATTGCCATGCATAAATATCGCATGGTCACGCATAGTGATCATAAAATGATGGACATATTCATTAAGATTTTCTTCAGTGTACCTTTCGGCATTTAAGATACCGAAACAAAACTCTAGATCAATCGTTTAGCGTCCAATCCACATGTTCGCGTGCGTAGCTATGTCATGCGATGAGTTACTTTCTCTCCAATTTTAAACCATTTGAGGTCTTCTTACAGCGTGGAGTGCATTTACTTGGTTTGGTTCTACCAAGACGGATAAACTGATTTATTAGCGCATCAGCCGTTGGGAATCGATTATCGATCAGATATTGATCCTCACACGTCCAAGTACATCTGGTTTTTTCTGTTCCTGGTCTGTGCAGGTTAGATCCAGTTTCTTGGAAACGTTGGACCACTCGTTGCGCAATTGACACTGTTGGTATACACCTCTTGCTGCGTCTGCTGGTTCCACCGGTCTTTCAGCATTATGAGGAGTTGTGAGAGACGTTTCTAACCGACTTCCAAAACACAAAAGAGGAGGTTCTCAATTCGTCTGTTTTTTTTTTTATGTATGTTTGTGCCGCGATTTCTCCGTGGACCGTGGTTTCATTAGAATTATTTTGAATTCTTAATTTTTCATTGTGCTAATATAAAGCTGACATAGACCAGTATTACTTATTGTGCATCGAGCTTGGCACCGACTTCAAACAGACTAGAAGGGACTATTGCTATTATAATGTTCCCTGTTACATTGAGGGTACTTATTATAGTTTTTTACTTAGATTTGTAATTATCTTTTAATTTTTAGTGCTCTTTGTCGGTGTAGTTTGAAGTCGGTTCAACTTTTTTTTTAAAATGGTTTATTGACTTCATTTTAATATCAATAATTAATATTCTATGTAAGGAATCTTTTTCATATCATTATTTGAGACAGATTAAAAAAAATGTAACCGACCTACATTTACGGCCCGTGATTATCTTATTAATTTCTATTTTACTACTAACCAATAGCAAGGTACCCCATGGGCGTAAGCTGAAAAATTTAATTCGGTCACATGGGCGTAAGGTGAAAAAATATTCACTATTCAAAACTTACTTTTCTGTTATACAAAAGTTGTTGTAGTAACGAAACGGCCAAGCCACATATATGTTGACTAAGGTCTGTGAAGTTAGGGCTTGTAGAGTTAAGACGTGTAGAGTTAGAAGTTTGGCTCTACATGAGATCTAATAACTTTTTGATAGTGCGAGTAATAATATGGTCTCGTCTTGACGCCAGGCGCAGGGCGCACGATCGCGTGGGGTGCGGCGGGTGCGTCGTCAAGCCAGCTCGTAACACGTGCTGAATTCTCACCGCTTGCGACGCTGTTCTGTTCGTCTTCCTACGCTGTTACTTCCGCCATGTCGAGTGCTAGCTTCTTCTTTATCAAGTTTTCCTTTATCTGAGCCATCTCGACCTCCGCCTTATATTCGGCACGCATTCGTAGTGCTTTGCGGCTTGCCCGGCTGAGTCTTGTGGACGCGTGGCTAGCACTGCACGGCGCGAGTACTGTATGCACTGAAACCGTCATTATGACCAGTCACCACGGAGTTCCTGGCGGGGTGCTGAGGCATCGTTGGCTGTAAACTCGAGAACGACCAAGCACGCAATCCCGAATCTTGACCGACCGTATTCTTCTTAGCTCTTGTTGCACTCCGTGCCTGTCGCATTGTACTGTTGTGACTCATTGCTACTTACTCTATTCGAGCTCTAAGGACCAATTTTGTAAGTAACGTGCGGGGTTGCTAATGAGGTAAATAGCAGAGAAAGACACAGACACGGGAATGATGGCTATTAAATTACCTTATCACAACCATAATAACTACGCGCGTTGAGCCCGATACAAGATAACAGTTACTAAATCCCATCCCTCTGGAATCGAAATGCTATTGCCGTACACGTGGTAACTACATAGTTACTCGGATGTGACTCGCTCGGGGGTGCGCCAAGACTGCGTAAGGGCTCGCGACGAACTGCCTGGAGGACTGATGCAACGTGCAGTTCAGTGCAGTCCCACGCTTCCTTTTCCCCGCGCCTGTGCGGCGAATAAAAGATACAAATCAATAGTAAAGGATAGAGTCTTACAATACCCTAAAGCCGTGCTCCTTAACAAACTGAATAGTTTTTTGTTAATGAGAAGTTTAATTATAGAGTAGGTATAGGTAATTTAAGTTTTGAAGAGTGTAACGTGTACGTTGTGAATAGGTTTTTTGTGAATAGATAGGAATACTATTTGTAAATCGATAGTGTTAAGTGACGAATTGACGAAGGCTAGCATGACGCGAACGCGAACAAATTTTATTTCTGTAATAATGTTGGAGAAAATAAAATAGCAGCCACTTCTGATCGCGAAAATCGCGGTGCGTTAAAATATAGTAAAAATAAGTTATTTGTGTAAAATTAATACTTAGTGATATATCTACAAGTTACGATCGTTTTTCATTTGTTATCCTTGTACGAAATTGCAATATTAATATATCCAGCTAATATATTATAACCTTCTTTTTTTTAACGTGTGGAAACCCCCTCGGGTCGTCACCCCACCAGGGTATGCGGTGGGGCGGTGTGTGGGAATCGAACCTACTAAAACCACACTTCCCGCCTGAGATGGGAGGGGTCCGGGAACAGCTGATATTAAGACATCCGGACCCCTCCCAGTGCCTGCCCGCAACAGCGCGGGCACCACCTTTAGCAAACTCTCGATTTAGGCGACGTCCGGCACACGCGGACGTCGCCTCCCTGAGGCTGGCCATTATAGCGGATGGAGGAAAAAACCCCTCCCGTCCACCCGCAGCCACACTCAGGGCTGCATGAGGCGCTGGTACGTGCGCCTACGCTGCCCGGTTCGCCGGCAGCGAATTGGGTCCGAGTGAAGGTCATCCTCCCGGGCCCTCTCCGCCACCTCCTTCTGCGAGACGTCTTCTCTCTTCGCAGAAGGATGCTACCGCGTTGAAACATCTGTCACTGCCGGTCATGGAGCGTATAATGACCGGTAGCGAGAGATCCTCCCCGATGACTGCAATGAGGACCCGGCGCTGCGGTGCCCAAGCCGGGCAAATTGCCAGCGTGTGCTGAGCCGAGTCCTCGCTGCAATCGCAGTGGTGACAGGCGGGACTCAATTCAATCCTAGCGACCGAGTGCCAACTTCCAACTGCCACTGCCACTTACAACGAGTGGTACTTCCCAAAGCAGCCGTACCCGGTAAGAACCTGCGTGAGTCGGAAGGAAAGGGTCCCGTGTTGCCACCCTGCCCACTCCACGATGACCGCCTGGAATGTCTCCACAGCCGCAAAGACGGCACGTGGAGCCTCTAGTCGGGATGACCAACGAGCCATCGTGGCTCGGCGAGCGGCCTCACTATCTCGCGTATCTCTTCGGGCGGGGGCCGACTGCCACTATCCGCCCGGAACTCAGCCGTCCGCCGATATACTTCGGCGAGCACTTCCGCCTCCAAATCCCATGGAGGAGTACCGATCAATGCGCACGCCGCCTCTGTCGAAACGGTTCGGTAACCGCGTATGGCTCTAACCGCCGCTATCCTCTGAGGGCGCCAGAGGCGTGCCCTATTCTGGTCGGTCAGAGACGTATTATATATTATAACCTAGCACAGGTACAATGCTTACAACTATTTCTATATTGTTTTATATATTGGGGAGTTAATGGTCAAAATACAGGCTATGCCTGCAGTTAGATTACAGAACCTGAAACTACAAAATATTTATTTTTGCTACTTATATACGCATTACTACGTATACTAATGTGATATACGCGTTACGCATATATCATATTATTTGCAGGTGTACGCTGACTGACAAGTTTTAACGTTCATTACGAGATATGATCTGTAGATAAAATCTTAGAAAAAATATTATTTGAACATGCCTCATCCATTACGATTTCTGTCAACAAATATGTTTAATCCACATTGATTTGTTTTAATCAGATACTAGCGACCGATAGTTTATTGCGTTATTATCTAAAGTGTATCTTGTATGATTTTATAGTTAATAAAAGTATTGAAATGACTGCCGAAATCACATTTGGACAGTAAATAGCATAGAGCCACAATGCTTAATAAGTATACAACTTTCTACTTAGTGGTCTTGGTAGCTGTGGTTTCGGCTCGAGCCGAAAACATCAACTTGTCAAACGCCCTGCAAAACTCCAATGTGTTGAAGGATAGGTGAGACAATCAGTAGCACTACGTAACAAAAAACACTTTTTTATTTCCAGAGAACTGATAAAAAGAAATTAGAAAAGTGAATAAAACATCTCAGTTATTTACAGTTTCCAAAGGAAACTGAGTTTTAAACTTTAATAATTTTTTGTAGGTGTTTGAAAGTAAACCCATTTTTAAGAGTAACTAATAAAGTTAGTAGGTACTTAGCACGCCTAAGTAAATCAAGAAAGTGTTTTTTGTTTTAATTAAACATCCCTTTCCTCAGGTAATAGATATTTTAAATGATTATTTTTTCTGATAATATAGTAAAAAAGTAAAAAGTTATTTTGAATCGAAATGTATGTTCGAGCAAGTTTATGGACTGCCTTAAGCGTGTTTCGCGTATATGAATACCCTCTCCTTATTTTTGAGGTTCCAGTGATCATTTTCTGTCACACGAACTAAAAATAATATTCTAAATTTTAATTTCTTGCTTGTATTGCCTATGTCACAGACACATGAGTAGATAAAGCAGAGGCAAAGCTTCTTAAGAACGTGCAAAATTGTTCCCATTTTTGTAGGGTTGTCACAATAGGTGAAGGCAAATTAAACAAAACATTTCTTAAATAGTTTTATTATTCAGTATGATAGAATACTTTTGAATTACTTACTCTAATACTTTTCTTTTTATCATTTTTAGTTTTTTTATCATTTACTGTTTTTTTTAATGATGTGGTAAATCCTGAATCTAACACAAAGTTTTTTCAAGTAATCTAAATGAATAGAAAATACAGTAATTTGATAAAAGTAACGGGAAACACTTACATGGCATATCAAATTTTTAATCTTTAATACGTTTAAGTATTTTGTTGCTAACATTGACAATATTTATTTCAAGATCGAAATATTCGCGAAACTTTTGCCCGAGCATAATAATAAGAACGATGTAGGTATCAATGATAAGTTTTCAATAAAAATGCTGGCTGCAGCAGCAGTTCATGATAAAAAACGTGTTAGACTATCAAAATTAAACCAACATACAAAATTTCGTGACCGTACTACTACCCGCTGAAGAATTCCATAGTGAGGAGACAATCCTAGCTGCAGTATCAGGTTATATCTATTATATTATTGCATTGTCACTGAATTTAAGCTAAATCAGACATCGGGAAGTGGTTCAAATCTTACTTTAACAATGTTTGTACTTAACACACATACCTACTACATACTAACCCACTCACATACCTACCTACAAATGTTCATTAAAAGCTTGTAATACCAATAAAAAGATAACAACACACCGTGTAGTATGTAGTACCCTCTTCTTATTAAAAAAAGGATCATACAATAAAATAAAGGTACCTAGGTACTTACTTGAAAAGTAATAATCAAATATAGTTAAAGTACGATATATTTCTATTTTTTCTAGTATTATTCATACACATAGTACAATAAGCAACCTAAAAACAACAATTATTAATAATAAAATACCACGTTTTTACATTAAAATATTCAAACTTGCAACCAACAAAACAAACAACGTGCGTCACAGTGAACCTGAGATTGTCCACTGGCTGTGCCAGCATAAACCAGTTTTTTCCAGTGTCGCCGCATGCGTGACAAGCGGCCAGTGGTCACGCACACATGCCCCGCGTGCTTGTAGTAGTGCAACCGATTCGCGCGGTTGTATGAAGCTTTATCTCTGTTCAGTTTATCTACTCATGTGGTCACAGATGCCTGCTCTAATACAGGTAGTAAATAATAATAATAATTAGGTACAGATCAATCAGCCAAACTTACAATAAATATTCAAGACAAAACAAGGCAAACGAGCTTGGCAAATAGTTTTAAAATAAAAAATCAATTTTATTGTTCATTGTCATTGCATAAGCGTCAATTAATACTTGATCCGATGACACCGATTAGGCAATTTACCTATTAATTATTATGATAAGCAAGACTTTTAGATCTTATCGTTATTTTAATATCGCAATGTGAACATATAAATCACGATTGCAATCATAACTCAATGATAATGAGTATATTATTATGAAATTGTACAAAGACGATCAGGGGCGCAAAAAGATACCTACAAATCTACAAAAGCGGACGCATGTTTTAAACAAACTATGTTTATGTAGCGTCATTATTAAAATATAGTATATAGATCTATATATATATATATATATAGTGCAAAGATAATAGATGAAAACTGTAAACAGTGTCTAACTTTTCTTGATATTTTTTCTTCTAAGATTTCTGGCAGAGCCGTCCGCACTAATAGCTTGGGATAACCTAAAAAAACGTTTGGTAGCTTATCCTACCGCTACCTATGGCGCAGGTATATTTTATCATAATCTTATGAAATATGTATGTTTTAAATTTGGAGTGTATTGATGTTTTACCTGACATACAGTTTTATGATCATGGTCTAAGTTATCTAGTTCAGAAACGGAGAGTCGATGTGATGATAATAATAGTGAATACACAAACACATAATTGTATTTAGGCGCAAGCAACTGAAGGAATGTAGTCTTTGGAATGTGACGTCACTTGATATTTTGAAAAATATAAGTATATATTTTCACTCACACACACTCACATTTTGAAAGCTATAATTTTAGTCCTATTTACCATCAAACTAGCATTTTTAGATTTTGGTAAACTTGAGAGGTGGCAATGAAAGGAAAGGAATATTGCTTATAAGGATGGATTAGAGGGTCTAAATAATAACTCTAGTCGAGTCATGGTCTAAGTATTAATCTATTCCTCTAAGAAACCAAATTGAAAATTAATACATTAATATTGTATTATTTATTTCAGCCGTCGTTGGGATGGGCTTGGCCTAACTGCAACCGTGAATGACTATGTTGACTTAACTCTTACATATGTTACTCGCTTTATCGAGTCTCAAGGATTGGATCCTATGCCATTGCCAGACATAGAAGAAGGATTTGAAGTGGTTAGTACATATTTAATTCCTATGTACATTATTAAAGTTTACATTATTTATTTTAGGTTTTTATCACTATTTCATTTATGCAAGGTGGTATCAAGGTGGTAAGGAAAAGTGGTATAAATCTTTATCGTTTTACCGCCTATTTTTTTATTAAGATGACAATACTACTTTTATAGGACATATTACAAAGCGCTACTTAAATGCCCATTAAGCATAGCTTGTATAGCATTTTATAAATCACTAAATATTTTTAAAATTTATATATTTTTTAAATTTATTTATATATTCTGTAGTATTAGTTTATTATTCAATTCCTAGTGCTTCTTATTACTTTATTACAATTATTTTTATCAGTTTTAACCCCAGTTTCTCTTAATCTTAAAAAACCTATTAAATTTAAGCCAGGATACATTTACTAGTTAAGTTTTTTACATTTTTTATAATAATATTATCTCTATAAAAAGTGTGAATTCGTTTCAGAGACCTATATGGGTAACATACAGCGCCTTGCTGAGGGTTTATGATGGCCGCATGACGGGGTTGACAAGAGTATCTCGATATGGTGACCAGCAGGTGTCTTATTTCGCCAAGATGTTGCGTGTTCGTCTTCAGCTACAGTTCAGCAACCTTGAGGTATTTAATAACTTAAATAATATTTCATATTAACCAGTCGGCCTATCCTTTTAAGCCGAATCCTTCTCACGATTAGAAAAGATCGTAGGCAATTATAATGTCGTAGATAGTATATGGATGTTTAACTTAAACTGAAAATAGCATAGTACAGTGCAACCTCGATATAACAAATCGGAAGTCAACAAGTAAATGTTTGTTATATCAAGTAATTCGTTAAGCTGAGGTTTGTTGTAAAGAGAACATTACGTATCTACTCATCTTGTTCTAGCGAACAACTTCTACTAAAAAATAATATCACACTTTTATCAAATTACTGTATGTATTTTCTATTTAAAAACAATTAGGTAGGTAACAACTTAAAGTTCAAAATTAAGTGCAGTAAAATCTGTAGGTATCAAGGTGGGTTTCATACATTATGTAGGTTATTTAATGTTAAGTTTAAAGATTCGCACACGCATGTTGATGATGACGAATCTTAATTTTGTTCATCTTGATTAGAAAAAAAGTCATAGATTGTTGTCTGTTTACCACCGGTAAGAGTTATCACAGTAAAGCGCAATCTAATTTCGTGATGGATTTGACTATATCTTCGCTTAAACCTCCCTTTTTTAGAAACACAGATTTTATTATATTTAAAGCATTATGAGCATCTTTTATTGCAGAGTCAGTTTCATCAATTTCATCCCCTTCTTCCTCGACTTCATCCGCTTCTGCATCACACTTGTTATAATTCTGAGCCACTGCAACTAGAATCTTTAACAATAGTCACGAGCAGCACTGTTTACATTACTTTCCATCAAACAACATTGATTGTTTTACAAAAAAACGTGTCTAAACCTGTCGCGACTGAATCACATAGGTACTATGGGAGTAAGGGTCATATCGGTGGGAACGTTATATGAAGGTTTTGGGTTGACAAAATTCGTTAATTAGAAGTATTTACACTTTTTTTGATAGTTGAAAATTCATTATAAAGAGGTTGTTCGCAAAAAACTTCGAAATGTAAAGGTATATTTACATTGACTCTTATGGATAATTCAAGGGGATAACGAAGAATTTGTTAAATCGAGGAAGTCGTTATGTTGAGGTAGGTACGTTATATTAATAACATGTCTTAATAACAGCTGTTCCCGGATCCCTCCTATTACAGGCGCAGAGTGGCACACCGTGTGGTTTTAGTCGGTTCGAGTCCGACACACCACCCCGCCGCAAACCCCGGTGGGGTGACGGTCCGAGGGGATTTCCACACGTTAAAAAAAAAAAAAAAAGTACGTTATATTAAGGTTGCACTGTAATTTCAAAAATAATAGAGTTAAGAAAGATACACTATCACGGAACTTTATTATTTTTAAACTTTCGCGTTCAATAATATATAATTATGAAACGTACGAGGAAGTATAATAGTAGTTGTCCTAGTTGATTAAAAAAAAGTAAGTAACATGCGATTGTAATAACCATTAAATATATTTCTAGATCATCTACAGATATATAGTACGAGTCATGAATATTGGGCCTAGTGGCGGTATCACCGCTTTGCTAGAACGGTTTAACGTAGTTGTTGACGTGCTCATTGACTTCAATAATGATGAAATCCACCTTCAAGAGTTCAAGCTTACTGATGTTGGGTAAGTATCATTCTTATTTCAGTCATATTTTCTAGAAAACGATATAGAATGTTATGAGAGGGTGGGGAGTTCTTATGATAACCTCCATGTCCCTCCCAGATCTATTCTTCCTTCCCCTGATCATTTGGACTCAGTTACGTGTGTAAATTGGATACAACAAGGCAAGAATTTATTTTGCATTAGTTATACAACTTAACACATACATAAATTAAGAATAATAACTTCACACATCTCACACATGGCTCTTTGATCTCAATCTAAGCAAAACCTGTGCTATGGTAATCCGGCTGCTGATAAATATACTTAAATATTAAATAAATACATATGATAGATAAATAACATCCAGAGACAGAACAAATGATCGTACTCCAATTGTTTGTCCTCTATGGGAATTGAACTCAGGACCTCTGGCTTTGCAGCCAGGGCTACGAATTACTATACCAACGGGCCCGTCAGAAATACCTATTTCTACGTAGTATTTCTACCGTAGAGTGCTTTTTTAAATCAGTTTAATGATTTCTTGTTTATTAAATTAGTTTTCCATTGCACATCTGTCACTGCTATTTGCATCACTAGCGTTAATATTGACATTTATTACCTAATGAGATTGTTGAACGAAGCCACCACAACATCACGGTGCCCGTCCAGTAGATAAGTCTAGTCTTCAATAGCAATAGAAGTTTATATTTTTCTCACGATTGTTACAGACGTCTCCGTGTGCAACTCACCGGCAACCCCCTGGTTGACTGGTTGGTTAATCCCGTTATCAATGTCTTCACGAGGATGTTCAATGGCCCTATTATTAGGGCTGTGCAAACGAATATCAGATCGGCTGTCCAAAGTCAAATAGATGTACTTAATGGCAACTTGCAAGCAATAATTGCGAGATTGGAGTCACACAATTAAAAATACAAGGCACCTACCGTTGTAAATACTTAATGAATTACATTGATGATGAATGATAAATGACATTTTATTAACCGCATTTTATAAGTTTAACGCCCTTTTGAAATTTGTTGATATTTCGTCTGGTAGGACAGATTTATCAACTGACAAATCGTCAGTTTAGAGTTTAGTTAACATTCAAATTGAAGACGTCACGGGACAGCAAAACGAATATTGACATAAATTCTTATAAATATGGGAGTAAAACTTGCCGTGGCCGTGGCCTCAGTCATTCTACTCTCATTAAATGTCTAAGTTTGGATGTCCAGAAAAGTGAATGCAAATTTTTAGCAAACCCCTCCTATGTACTGTAAGTGTACGAAGGACGTTTATTTCACACATACAAATTTTCAAATCAATATAAGTTTTTACACAAACATCGACTTAGGAAACTTATAACGAGTTTGCTGAAAGTAATCACAAAAAAATGAAATAACAGATAACACGGTACTTATAAAAAATAATAGTACGAAAATACAGAAATGCAAATTTATAATAAAATAAATGCAATCAAATAATTGCCGAATTAGAGCACCATTGTTAACATGAGTCGCTGAACTGTAGACGAAAGGGTCACAATGTCGGTGACACCAAAGCGACGCCGCCGCCGCGACGAGCCGGCGAACTTTACATTCTTATTACTTACCTACTAATTACTTCACTTTTTAAAATAAAGTTATTAAAAATACAATTTTATTCGCGTGTTTATTTCGGGAATGCTCGACTAGTTTCGGACCCGGCAGTACGTGTCACTCCTTGAAAAAGTAGGTATTTTTTTTATATTATATTATTTTTTAAATTATTATCGTCAGGATATTCCGCGCACAGCTGATCGCCGCCTGAGGTCTATGTATTATGTCTGCATTTACACATGATGTTGCAAGTTATGAAAACAAAAAAATGTCCTGTTTCTAAACCACTGAATAGTTTTTGTTCATATTTTGCAAATCGTCTAAAAGTAAAGTGCAGCATATATGGGTTCAAGGTTTCTCAAAAGAAAAAAAAGACAGTATATAAGAATACATATACATTCAGTCAAAAAAGAAAGAATTACGTGTTCGGAGTCACTGAAAATGTTACAGAAGGCTTACGGTGAATCGACTTTATCAAAAACACGTGCTTATGAGTGGTACAAAGCGTTCAAAAGCGGTCGAGATGTGATGGAAGATTTTCCTTGCTCTGGTAGGCCATTAACGTCTGCAACTGAAGTTAACATCGCAAAAGTGAAGGAAATAGTGACTGAAAATCCTTATTTAACTTTGAGAGAGATAGTTGCCGAACTCTCTGTATCTCACGAGTCGATCCGTGCCATTTTAACTAACATGTTACCGCTCGTCTAGTACCCAAAAGACCTGAATTTTCTCCAAAAACTCAATCGCATGAGAGTCGCTGAGAACGTGATAGAACGAGTCGATTCCGACCCAACATTCATGAAACGCATTGTCACTGGTGACGAGACGTAGGTTTACGAGTTTGACATGCAAACTAGTCAACAAGCTTCGGAGTGACGCCTTCCAAATGAACCGTAATCGAAAAAGCCACGCCAAAGTCGAGTTGTCAAGTCATGTTGACTGTTGTGCACTCGGAATTCTTGCCGGAAGGTCAAACGGTAAATAAAGAATATTATTTGAGCGTTATGCGGCATTTAAGAGAGCAAATTCGACGATAAAGGCCAGATTTGTGGAAAGAAAATTCTTGGATTTTGCACCACGATAATGCGCCTTCGCATAAGGCCGTCATTGTGAACGAATTTTTGAACCAGAGACCTCAGCACAACAGTCACATACGCTACTTACTGCACCACCGAGGCAGTCTCAGTGGTATTACAGTATTCAGTGGTATTACTTCTACAAAAAGGTAAACTGAAATGTCACCTTATAAGCTCAAGTTCGTTTGAGACAAACGGGCAAATATTGCTAGACACATATTCATCAGCACTATACATGTATACATATAATGACAAAAATCACTCACTCACACAATCAGACACTTTTAATATGACCTACTCATATTACCTGAAGGAACTCGAAATCTTAAGCGAAATCGAACTTTCGGTCCTTGTTTTAGTTTCGACGAAACCGAAACTCTATCATTTTAAAATTTAAATTGTACACTCGTGTATTTTTAGCCCTTTATCTGCTTATACCTACATACATACTATCTTAAACCATTGTAATAGGGTAGACACTAGGCATCAATTCTAAATAAGAGAAAATGTATTTAGGTAGGTAGGTAAAAAGAATACGTAGCCAGCTACTAAGTACTAGAAATTCACCACATCCACCATTCAGCCAGGTGGTCAGTGGAACTCTTCAAACATGGAGCAGTAGGATGACCTAGTGGTAAGTGACTACCGCCGCCCATGGTGACTGCTACTCTAGAGAGACAAGTGTGAAAAAACAATTGCGTAATATCGGTTTTCTGTGAGGCTTGTATCAGTCCGGTCAAGTCGGCCCATATGTGGCGTAGCATTGCTCTTTCATGGTCAAGATGTAATTAATTGTAATTTTGTATTTTGACGATTCAACGCGCTTGTGACTTCTGAGTTGCGAAAGTCACTTTCCATCAAGAGACCCGTCTGTTCGTTTGCCCCCTCTTCCATAAAAAAATAACAAGCCAAGAGAGATTTAGTTTTTCTATATACTATATTTTGTAAAGACTAATACAGTAACTACTTTTTATAAATTATAGTATATAAGTAATGTAAGGCTCAGTGGCCTGTACATTACTTGGGGTATAAATCCTGCAGTCTGCAACGTAAAGTAAGGGCGTCCTAAATAAGGGTGTGTAACGTTTCAAATAATAACAAGTTCTACTCGTATCTATATAATATATATATAAGAGATTTCCACGTATATAGTCACTCATCACGATATCTCTGGAACCATTAGAGCTAAAGACTTGAAATTTGGTAGGAATATTCTTTTTCCCGAGTAGAGGTCAGCTAAGAACGGATTTTAAGAAATTCAAAAATTTTTTTTTTAATTAATGTAAATAGCAAAACAGTTATTTGCAGGGTCGGCTAGTTGATCATAAATATAACCTAATTTCATTTAATATACTTTTTTAATGAAACAATCAAATGAAATAATGAATTATATAGATAGAATAAAATATAATTTAATTTTGGAAGCGGCCGCCGAACGTGTTGCTCTTCTATTGTTGGTGAATCATCTGGATGATGACTCATTAATTACACAAAAACTAGTAAATATTAAAATAAGAACAAATGAAAGTCATATAAAAAAAAGCATTATAAAAATAAAAATTATATGTAATGAATGTTTTACTAACTGTTATTGGGGCAAATAAGGGTTTTATAACATTAGATTATTTATATGAAATAAAGTCACGGTAGGCCCCTGTTTTTAAGTTATTACAACAACATAAACTCAAATGATTATAATTAAACATAGTATTATTTCAGTCAGCGGATTAACACCTAAGCGATTTTCTAGGCGACTAAGGAGTTATTTAGTTATTGTTAAAGTGTGTTTTTCTAAATACAATGCTAATTTTGGTACCTAATTAAACACCTACTTTTATTTGTCGAGTTCCCGGCTCGCAACAATATAATGTGCGCCCTTTTTGTCTGTGCGAAACTGCCCTCGGATACCACCCACCGGTGACTATGTCGGACTCGAACCGACCAAAAACCGCACGCCGTCGCCGTCTCGGGTACCAGTAGCTGGGGAACTAGGTGCAGAGGCGGCCTTACCCATTGCGAGGCTCCGGGCGGCAGGTCTTTGCGAGGTCCTTTGTCCTTCGTGAAAAGTTTGTGATGCGAAAGTAGGTCTGGTTGTTTGGTTTAGGTATTTGTCATGTTTAAGGAAAAATGCTTAAATTATACAAATAAATCAAATTTGAGTTTTAAAATATTTTACATTGAAGGATTTACAAAATTAACAAATACAGAGATGCTAAATTTTAAAATTGATGTTTGCGGCTTTTCCTATGATTAAAATCTTTAATTAAAGCACAATAATCTAACGAATAAGCTACGTCATTTTCGATTGAAAGAAAAGCGAGAGCTGAAAGCCGATCTTGTGTCATCGAATTCCTCAAATATGTTTTAATAATTTTAAGCCTCGAAAAACTCCTTTCAGCAGACGCAACTGTAACAGGTGTGGTAGCAATAATTCACAGGACTATTTCGATAGTGGGGTAAACTTCAGTAAATTTTTTTTCTATTATGTATTTTAGCACCGAGATAATGTCATCGTTTCCTTCATACACACGGATGAACATATTCAGTTCTTCGTACAATTCATGTCCATCAATGTCACATGATTCTCCTACTGTCATAGATATTTGCAAGTCGCTGCATTGCTTTAAAAGTTCACTATCATTAATTTCCTTTATTTTTTTTATATTATACATAAAACCAAATATGCTCTCATGATGTTTAAGAGCCTCAAACCTAGGATAACAGCTTGCGCGCACATTGTCGACAATGACATAAAAATAGTTTATTTTGAAAATTTCTTCCGCTTTCAATTCATGAGCTTCATCTTCCCCTCCATAATCAAAATGCCTTTTTTAACGTCGTCTTCTAACTTCTTTGAACTGTCTGTCAATATCATTTTTCTCGGCTATTTCTCTTGCTGTTACAAGGGATGACCGAAAACCATTTTCTCGATAATTATCGAGCCAATTTGTGAATGCGTCTAGGTGTTGTATAGCCTCATCTAAGTGCATGTTTTCGCTATGCCACATTTTACTTATAACATTTATCTTTGTAAGAATGTCATACCATATGACAAGTGAAACTACAAATTCGTAGGTAGTTAGTTCCTTTTCTATAGAATGGCATTCACTCACTGACCAACTGACAATCTGTTGTGTTTTCTGCTAAATCCTTTAAAGCATCACATATATCACTTAGTTGGTATTTAACAGCCTTCACCGATGCTACCCTGCACTCCCATCTAGTTTCAGAAAGTGGTTTTAGCGACAATGATTTTACATGAGCATTTAAAATAGCCCACCTCTGACTTGAGCCGGCAAACGGAGTGTACAATCTTTGCAGCAAACCAAAAAAAGATTTTGCTTGGACACAAGACGATGCTGCATCTCCTAGGATGAGATTCCATCTATGACTCCCACAAGGTAAAAAATAAGCAAGTGGATTAATTTCAAGAATATGTTTTTGGACACCACTTTTTTCACCACGCTATTGGCACCATTATCATATCCTTGGCCTCTGCAATTTTGCAATGATATACCTAACTGTTCTAATTCTGTGATTATATAATTAGTAATGACTAATTATATAATCACAGAATTAGAACCACCAGATCTCAGCTGTGGTTTTTTTCGACGGCTAAGAAACCAATAAAATGTTCTACAATTTCAGCTGTATTTGTATTAAAAAATCTTATAATAATTGAAAGTTGCTCAACACAAGAAACGTCGCGAGTACAATCAAGAATAATGGAGTAGTATTTATTATTTACTATTTTTTCAACAATTTGAGTCTTCACGTGACTTGCCATTATTTGTATGAGCTCATTTTGAATACTTTTGCCGATATAGTGGTCATTAATCGTCTTATCCTTTACTTCTTTTAGATGAAGTCTCAGCACGGGATCAAATCGGGCTATTAACTTTACTAAATCTATAAAGTTGCCACTTGTCTCACTCGAATCTGAGTCAGTTGTTAACTTCTCTCTATGACACCTGAAGGCCAAATTGTGAGATGCTAAAAAATTTATAATTGCGAGCTATCGTTCTAAAATATCTCTCCAACGTTGCTTTTCTTGTTCAATTTGTGACTGGGCCAAGAAGTCAATAGTGGAACAGCTTTTTAAACCATTCTCTAAATTAATCCATTTCAACATACTGCTTCACGACAACGCAAGACCACACACTGCACAACAATCAACCACTAAGTTAGATGAGTTACAATTTGAATGTCTGCGACATCCACCGTACTCCCCGGACCTTGCTCCAACAGATTAACATTTTTTCCGGAATTTGGACAACTTCTTACAAAGAAAAAAAATCAACGCCGATGCGGCAGTCCAAACCGCCTTCAAAGAGTTTATTGATTCTCGCCCCCATGGTTTTTTTTTAGTAAAGGGATCAATGAACTACCTATGAGATGGCAAAAGTGCATAGATAACAACTTTGATTAATTTAATATATTTTACAAAAAAAAAATGACTTTATATTCCACCCGTACAAAACGCCAATTTAAGATGTAAGGACCTAATATTATCATTATTTAAAATCATCAAGGTAAGACCTGTTATGTAGGATTGGCTCGAGAAGCAACACGGGACCCCCTCAAACCGGCTGACGCAGGTGATCACTGGTAAAGGATACTACGGGGATCACCTGTATCTGAACCTCAAGGAGCCAACGCTTGAGTGTCACCACTGCGATGGCCGGAACGTGTACAGCGCGCTTCACACGCTGGCAGAATGCTCACCGTGTGATCACTTTGTGTGAACCACGAAATATTGTTCTGAGTCTGGGTGTACTTTGTGTCCGTTTCATGTATGTTTGTAAAGGTCTCTGTGCTCTACACTCCATACTAATCTAGTTTCCTTTTTTGTGGTGATTGGTATTTAAAAATACGTTCCGTTTCGCGGTATTTCAATTCTTAAGTATTGTGAAAACCAAAATTAATTACAATAAGACATTTACACTTTTCTTTTCTATCTAATGACACAAATTTTACCCTTTCGCATACTGAATATTTTTGATTCTAGGCTGAGTATTGGTCTGAGTATTATAATCAAACCCAAGGCTGCGCTTTGATAGGTGCCATCGTTGTCATAGTTCATAAACGTCACACACTGGGACCATAGTTCTCTTCAAAAAACAATAAACAATAAATTGATTCACAAAATAACCGAGGTCTAAATAAAACATTGATTTTTCAAAAATCTATTTTTTCGAGTCTGTATTTACAATATAAAATGAATCCATTTTATAAAAAACAAGAAAGGTACCCTAATAACAAGTACCGTCTTTACTATAAGGGCACATGGGGCCCGTGTGCCCTTATGGTTAAGACAGTACTTGAAGAACGTGTGGCTGTTGAATATAGATAAGTCTCAAAGGAAAATAATTTGCAGTTTTTTTTTTGAAAGATCATGAGAGAGTGTACAGTTGAATGGCGAAGAAAAAATTCGTGTAGATACGTTTATCGAATCATTATATGCACATTCGAAAAATCGTTTGCCAGTACATTAAGTAATTGGCAATTGTTTTAGTGTTATTTTTCACTTAACATTAATCGATTCTGATGAGTTGATTAAAAATGCAATGAATTTAAAGATTTTATCATCAAGACCTTAATGCATATGAGCTCAAATCAGAATGTTTTATTTCAGGAAGTATTTAAAGAACATACCAAAGGAATCAGCGGATTTGAGTAGCTCAAACTTAAATAAACTAATAAGTAAAGCCTGATAAATTAGAAGGAACTTTCACTTTTTTAACTTCTTTTTTCTTTTTTTAACAAATTTAGAAATTGCTACTAGAATGTTTTTTTGCTTTATGGTTACTAATTGTAGTGGAGAGCGCTCATTTTCACAGTTAAAGTTTTACTGACCAACAGGGTTTCAAATTCTTGTGTGCCCAGGGGCCCCAGCATAGCCTAAGACGGCCTTACTAATAACCGATCTCTTATCAGGTATATCAAAGAATTCTTTAGTTCAAGGAATTCAATAATTAGATTGTTTTAATAACCAAACAATTTACTTGTCACATTAAAAAGTTCAGAAAATAGATAATATATCTTATAGTTTCCAATGCTTAGTCTAAGTTTCTGAGAAACAACAGTCTATCAAGTCTAAGGAAATCCAAGCAGTTCTGTTCATCACTTGCGATGTTGCCGATACCGGCCATCGAAAAAAGGCACTCACAAGGTACAGATAATCCCACAATACTCATGTATTTCATGGTTATTAAGAGAAAAACAGTTTTTTTCTGTACATGACCTGTTGAGTACCATGGAGAATAGAATAGCTGCAAAAGCGTTTCAAACGGGGCACTTGATATTAACGCGTATTCACAATATTGAGTACATTAAACTAATTGTACATAATTTTATAGTTTCTATCAAAACAGAAAACATCTAATGTCGATTTTCTAGGGTGAAATATTGTTTCACTGAATCGTTCCGTACTACATTTCAATTAATAATTGTTTTGTTTTTGTCCGTGAATCCATCCCTATCGGGAACTGTCAAAAAGATATAATTGACAATTGACATTGTCCATTGACACTTTCTGATCTGACGTTTCGTATCTCACATGTGTTAATTGTGTTATATTTTTGATATTTTAGGTTTGAAAGTGCTTGTTGGTTTGAAAGTATTGCTTTTGAGGAGTTTTTATGGTATAAAATTTAGTCACGATGGGAAAAGTGAAGAAAATAAAGCCGTCGCAAGTAGGAAGGAATCCGGCCTTAGCTGATCAAATAGAGGCAGTAAACGCCGTAAAGATTAAGAACCGCAATAAAGAGAGGAACAGGCATGATGATGATGAAGAGGTAAAGTGGTATTGCTTATTTATAATCGGTGACAACCTCAGTGATGTTTGAAAATCAAGTTTTTGGTTTTCAAATCTTAAAACCACATCCAACCTTTCCAAATAATGTGTTTATTTATCAGTTAAAATTATCACTGAACTGAAACTTACAGACTAATATTTGATTTGCCATTTATAAAAAATGTTAGTCATCCTATCACTTCACAATTTAAAAAAAAAAACAAAATTCTGTGATAAGATTATTATTAACCTAGTACAGCTAATGGAAGTGTTAGTGATTCTATGTAGATGCTTTATGTTGTGTAAGGTTAGGGTGTCAAGCAAAGGCTTGATTAAAGTCACGTTTACGAATAGTGGGACCTTAAATCAAAGTTATCTTTCAGTTTGTTAATTCTGATTTATCCAAAAAAATTCTCAAAGCGGCTCGACGTCAGCAAACTGAATTAGGTGATGAGGAAGGAGGCCCATCACCTGCAAAGCATGTGGTTCTCCATCCAACATTTAAAGGTAAACTTTTATTGATGTCTTCCAGCATATAACTCTTAGTATTTTTAAACTTACGTAATGGGCTAAATGACTAATTTTATAAAATTGTTTTTAATTATTCTTTATGTAATAATATGCATAGCACAATAGTTGATGACCAAAAACGGACCATCAGATTTTTTTATCATGTCACAAACAACGGCCAATATCTGACCTACAGTAGACCAAAAGGTTCCAAATGCAAAGACGTTGCTTTTATCTTACTATTTTAGAATTTTATCAAAAGGAAAGCCATAATTGACTCAAGGCTAAATCATTCAAAATGGTGACCGATTGGGTAGTAGCGCATTGCAGGGTTAAGCAAGCCCAGTCAGGTCAGTCTATGGATAGGTGACCATTCTTAACACATTGAAAACCCTCCGTGCCTCACAAACCATGTTAATCTGTTGTTCCTGGTTGCCATATAAACATCTTTCTAAAAAGGCCGACAATGGTCTATCTCAGAATTTGGATATTACCTAGTACTTGGTTTGTGGAGGTCTGATGGTAGTTGCTACATGTAAAAAATCTAAGTTCAGCCGCATCATAGTAGACTCAAAAGCCAACCCCAACCTAGGTGGGATAAGGCTTGGAGGATGATGGAACGGTATAGTTGACCTACTTCAAGTTAGGCATGGGACAATATCATAGTGAACTGTGAAAGACCATTCAAGTGATTTATCATTCGATTTTTATTTTCAGGTTTTAGGTCAGGGTTACTACTTAAATCTAGTAATTATTATTTATACCTACCATTCCCTATAATACTAGATTTACTGTTAAATAGCGTCTAACCTAAGTACCTAGCAACTGTAACCAACGTACATCACAGTTCACTGTGATTTTATCCCATGTCTGCTTCAAGTACTAACGGCTTATATGTGACAAATGTGCCTCATAATTTAATCAATACTGTTCCTTAACATTTGTGTTTGTAAAATGATAGAAAAAATATTAGCAGATAGGCCTTTTTTTTCTAATTCGAAAATGTGTCAGTCAATTAAAAAAAAATTGTTGTGCCCTTGTTCCTTATGATGGCAGAAATATTATTTTTGGGTTTTCTCGAAGTTCTTAGTATTCTTTTGGAAATTTTTTCTCCTGATTCTGAGTTTACATATAATAACAAATTCTAAAACACAAGGCAAATAATGCTAAAATTACCAAAAATTTTGTCACTGTCTAGCTAGCTAGCTAGCTAGCCCTAAGCCCTTCTCATGTGAGTGACGTCACCAGAGTTGTGTCCAATTATAGCACTTTCCCGTCAGAGATAAAATATTAATCATCATTATTAATTAGTGTGCAAATAAAGTAAATTATAACTTTTTATACCATTATCTATTAGGATGACCATAATTTGTAGCATATTTTTAATGTTGTTAAGTAAATCAATTATTTTGTAGATGTTGATTCTGGTGATGATGAAGAAGCTGATTCAGATAATGATGATTTGGAGCCAGATGCGTACTGTGACAATGTAGACATAGATGAAGAGGATGAGGCAACAATGAGAATGTTTATGTCATCAAAACCAGAGAGGACACGGACATTAGCCGATATAGTCCAAGAACATGTTACTGAAGTACAAACACAGTACTCAGATGTAGAAACATTAAAATTGCAGAATATTGATCCAAGGTAAGCCTGTAATAAATCTGCAATTGTTACAAGAATTTGCTAAGTTTTAGCTGTTACCACCTAATATTATCTTATCTATTACAGAATAAAAGCAATGTATGAAGGTGTTAGAGATGTGCTAAAAAAGTACAGATCAGGGAAACTACCTAAAGCATTCAAAATGGTGCCACATTTACAGAATTGGGAACAAATATTGTATATCACAAACCCTACTACATGGTCTGCAGCTGCTATGTATCAGGTAGCCTTTCATTCATAACTATGCAACTGTTTGGAATTGTCAAAGGCGGTGAATTCACAAAATGTCATTATTTTTACAGGCAACTAGAATATTTGCATCAGCAAAAGAAAAAATGGCACAGCGTTTTTACAATTTGGTATTACTCCCCCGCATCAGAGATGATCTCTCAGAGTATAAACGCCTGAATTTCCACCTATACCAAGCTCTGAGGAAAGCACTTTTTAAGCCTGGTGCTTTTATGAAGGGTATCTTGTTACCCTTGCTTGAGGTATTTTTAATATGCAGTTACTACTACAGATTTAAAGTCACTTCTATGCATGCTTTTATTCAAAGATAATGAGATTTACAAAAAAACTACCAAAAATTTTGTCACTGTCTAGCTAGCCCTAAGCCCTTCTCGTGTGAGTGGACGTCACCAGAGTTGTGTCCAATCATAGCACTTTCCCGTCAGAGATAAAATATTAATCATCATTATTAATTAGTGTGCAAATAAAGTAAATTATAAAAATAAAATTATATTATTATTAAAATTGGATGCTTAAATACAATGAGTTTACTAATGTCTGTGTTTTAACTTTAAAATATGCAATTCTTACTTTAGGACTACTTTAAATATTTAATGGAATTATTTTTTAGGCTGGAGATTGCACGTTGCGAGAAGCAATTATAGTTGGATCTGTGTTAGCCCGTAACTCAGTGCCTGTACTACATTCCAGTGCAGCAATGCTAAAAATAGCAGAAATGGACTATACAGGCGCAAATTCTATATTTTTAAGAATACTCTTTGATAAAAAGTATGCTTTACCCTATAGAGTTGTGGATTCAGTGGTATTTCACTTTATAAGGTAATCTATAACATGTCACATAATATCATCACATCAACAGCCTTTAATAGTCCATTGCTGGACATAGGCCTCTCCTTAGAGGGGGTTTTGGCCTGCTATACCACGCGGGCCAGACGGGTTGGTAAAGGGTTTGTGTCAAGTTTTCATTCTCTTTCTGTTTTGTGTGCTGTTGTTCTGCGCAATTTTCTCCCTTTGTCGACTCTCTTACGACACCCACGGGATGAATGGGGGTGGTGACACTTCGTATTGTTAATCCGTCACCACACGGATAACAACTATAACATGTACCTATTCATAAAATAGCTTTGTATATAAAAGAATGGTATTATGTTTGTGTAAATGTAATTTTTGACAGTAGCTGCAGCAATTTAAATTAAATATTGTGTGACAGAGTCATCTTATTTGGTTAATATTTGAACAGTATTGTTTCCTAACAGTATCTAGTCTATTGGATGCCTATGCATTGCTTTAATAAAATTTTATATTTATTTAGATTTCAAAATGATAAACGGACTCTACCAGTATTGTGGCATCAGTCATTTCTAACATTTGTCCAACGTTACAAAGCTGACATATCTACAGAACAAAGAGATGCATTATTGGAATTGTTGCGAAAGCAGTCTCATCATACAATTACACCAGAGGTATTATTTTTGTGTAAATAGGAAATTAAAATAATAAAACTTTGCTCTAAAATTGAGCAATTAGCAATTGAATTGAATTGCATTTTATAAAAAAAATTGTTGTTAATTTTTATTCAGCGTTTTATTTGTGAAACAGTAACTCCAGATTATCATAACAGGCACTTTGTCTTTCAGATTCGAAGGGAACTACATGCAGCAAAATGTAGAGATGAGGAAGTCAATAAAATAGCAGAGAATGCTATGTTAGTCGAATAAGTGTATTTATTCTATTAAATAAAAGATCAAAAACAAAATAATGTTTTATTTAACCTGAAATCTAATGATACCTATACAATATGCTAGGTCCCTAATATTATTGGCATATCTACATGGCTTGATACTAAATATATCGGTGGTAAAACTGATGCTCTACACGCACATTTGCGACCAGAAATATAGTCGAATGATCCAATCCTGCTCTTACACTTTTCACAATACAATTTGCCTTTAGTCCATTGTTCTTGTTCAACTTTATCTTTTATCCATGTGGGTGCAAGATCTTCACTGATGTAAATAAACTTATTGATGTCATAGCTTTCACAAGCCTTAGGGTCACATGTTAACGAACTATCAATAACACACGTATCTTGAAGTAATATTTGACGGCATTTATGACATTTTATTATTTTAGAGCTCATCATCAGCTCAGATTATAGCAATAGTATAAGTCATTAACATTATTAATTGCTTTTTGGAGGTTATGCAAAATATTTAATAGGTACATTGAATGAGTGACAAGATGAATGAACGACGCGGCGGGCAGTGTTAGCAACTCTTAATAATATTTACCTCTAAAGCCACAGTGAAAACCCCGAAAATTGTCACAACCGCTTCAAAATCCCCCTAAAATAAAAAACCTTAATTAAAATTAAAAAATTGCGTTCAAACGGTTCAACGAAGTTGGTGGTGTCGTTCTGATTGACTGGGTGTTAGTATTATTAGCAGTTCCCGCTAAAGATGAAGAGAGACAAATATAAAATATTAAATTGAAGCAAAAAAACAATTCTTGGTACATAATTTGTGGGGGACAAGATGAAGAAATGGTGAATTCAGCAACTTATTAAATAAGTTGAAACGTAGACGTACACACGTGCAGCTTTCTATCTTGCCACACTCAGTGTGGCAACGTATGAGCGTGCTTTTCTCCTTTGTCCTCGCGCCCCGCTCAGGCTGCACTGCATTCACCGACAACACCGCCATATCCGGTTTAAAAATAATTTCAATTAGGTTAGCTGTAATAATCCTGTAAACTATGTGACTCGCGGCACGCTGCAGCCATCTATCGAATGAAACAGCATGACACGACATGCTGCGGCGTCCTGCGGTATACCAAAAAGTGTCACTATTTAATTGTATCGCAATAAAGTAATATGAATTCTAAACACATTGAAAAAAGAACTTGACCAGAAATAAAATCCTGTACCATGCCGTACCGTACCAAGACGTCACGACAGTTAACGCCGACATTAAAACCGCACGCCCGTCTCGGGTCTGGAAACCAGGCCAGGCAGGCAGGCAGGTTGGGCCTGGGAACTAGGAGTGAACTAGAAAGAAATCCGTGATACCCCGACGGACCTCGAATCATCTATGTCTTACAGATGCGTACCCCCCTCGTGTCTGGTGAGCACAGTTTCCCCTCCCTGCCTTTAAAGGCATACCGGAGCGACTCGCATCACCGCCTGAAAACCCGGCTTGCGCTTATGGAAGACGGAGACTGTTAGGTAGTACAACACTACTATCGTCTCTCGATACTTGTCAGTGGTACGTCACTACACTTAGACTTAGCTATGGCGGACATGCGTATTGCATTGTAATATAACTTATGAAAATAAAGACATACTTACTGGCTATGGTGGACTTCATCATTTAACCTGAAAACTCAACATGGTGTCAGAAGTAGTGAACAACGCGTAACACGCTCCATATTCCAGTCGTGCGCACATTCTACTAGAGAAAAAAGGTAAAAAATGACCGACGACAAGAAGCCGCCAACGCCGACAACGACATCGAAAGTAATCAGTAGCTTCATCCAGCCATTGGACATAAATAATTCAAATATGCCATTGGCATGGAAAAACTGGCTCACACAGCTCAAAATTTATATGCGGGCTAATAATTTAGAACAGGAAAACGACGCTAGAAAAGTCGCCATACTTCTACATTTCTTGGGCACAGACGCACTCACGACATTCTATTCTTTTAACCTGGACATCGACACTGTAAGTTTTGCAGAACTGACAGAGAGGTTCAACCTACATTTCATGCCGCAAGTAAATGTAACAATGGAACGCCACAAACTATTTAACAGACGACAAGGCTTAGATGAATCCATTGATATGTACACAACAGACTTGAGAAATATCGCAAAACAATGTGAATTGAGTACACTAGAAGACAGCATCTTACGTGACATCTTTAGTTTAAACTTGAATGCTAACAATCAGTACATCAAGGAGAGAATACTGACAGACAAGCCAACATCTTTGGACAAAGCAGTAATGCTAGCTAAAAGCATGGAAGCAACAAGGATACAGGTGAAAACACTGGAAGAACCAATCATAGGCCAGGTCTCCAAATTTTCACGTAGCATAAAAGAATATCCGAAGTCGGAATCAAAACGTCCTCAGTCGCTGTCATCAAGTAAGAACAGCATTTGCTCCAGATGTGGTCAGACCCACAGGTTCAGATGCCCGGCAGAAGGCGTTAAATGTAGGAAGTGTGGAAAGTATAACCATTTTGCTCAAGTATGTAAAAGTGTTAACAACATTAACATAGATGAGGCTCATAATAGTAATAATTGTAACAATAACAACTTTTTTCTAGGCACAATTAGTGTAAATTCAGTCAATACTCAGTCATGGAAAATGGTACTCTCAATAAACAATGTAAACATAGATTTTGTTCTAGATACTGGTGCAGACACTAACATTCTTTCGGTGCATACATTTGAAACTCTACACATTCAAACCAACATGATACATAAAAGTACTCATAGGTTATCTTCATTTAGTGGTGACATCATACCGACTATTGGTCAATGCAACTTACCTGTTAAATATAATAACAATAGTTATACATTCAATTTTCATGTTGCTGACCTAAATTGTAAAAATATCATAGGCAGGGACACATGTCAAACACTGAACTTAATTAAAAGGGTGCACAACATTGATTTGGTTCCACAGCTTCCTCATGATTTGATAAATGGTATAGGGTGTATCACAGATCTAGAAGTAAAGCTCAAGCTGAAGCCAGATGCCACTCCAAACGTCGCAGCCTGCAGACGAATTCCATTTCAACTCCGGGAACCACTCAAAAAGGAACTTCAGGAGATGGAAAAACAAAATATCATACAAAGGGTTGACGAGCCAACGGAGTGGGTAAGTCCTATTGTTTTAACTACTAAGAAAGATGGTAAAATTAGACTCTGTATAGATCCAAACAAACTCAATGAAGCTATCATGAGACCCCATTATCCATTACCAACTTTAGATGAAATAAAAACAGAACTGTCTGGGTCAAAGTATTTTACAACTTTAGACGCCAACAAAGGCTTCTGGATGTTGAGATTATCAGATGAGTCCTCAAAGCTGTGTACATTCATAACCCCATTTGGTCGGTACAGGTTCACACGCTTACCTTTTGGTATTACTTCAGCACCAGAAATCTTTCATAATGAGATGGTTAAACGTTTCAATGACATTCAGGGTGTTAAGATTATGATGGACGATTTTTTAATTCATGCTAAAGACATCAATGAGCATAATGCCATATTTAATAAAGTCATAGAAAGAGCACGGTCTATAAACTTAAAATTTAATAATGAAAAGTCCAAAATATGCTGTACTGAAGTCAAATATTTAGGTCACATTTTCAGTCAGGACGGAGTTCGAGTCGATCCTTCCAAAGTTGATGCAATTGTAAACATGCCAAGTCCAACTAATATTACAGAACTCCAAAGATTTTTAGGAATGGTGAATTACTTAGGTCCTTTTATTAAAAATTTATCACAAGAAATTTCACATCTTCGACAACTGTTAGGCAACAAAAATGAATGGATTTGGACACAAAAGCATGAACTAGAATTCACTAAAGTCAAGAGTCTAATAAGTTCATCACCAGTTCTCACATATTACGATCCTAAAAAAGAAATAATACTGTCGGTTGATGCATCCAAAGATGCTCTAGGAGCTGTAATTTTACATGAGCAACAGCCCATAGCTTATGCATCAGCATCACTAAGTACTTGTCAGCAAAATTATGCTCAAATCGAAAAGGAACTTCTAGCGGTTCTATATGGCTGTACCAAATTTCACCAATATATATATGGTAGAAAAGTAACTGTTGAAACAGACCATAAACCACTAATTACCTTATTCAAAAAACCACTTTTCGATATTCCAGCAAGGTTACAAAGAATCATGCTGAGGCTGCAACCATACGATTTAAATGTGCTATACAAACCTGGTAAGTACCTATACATTGCAGACACACTTTCAAGGTCAGCCCTTCCAGCAGGTACACTTACAGATTTAGACGAAGACCTTGATCTTCATGTCAATCTTTTATTTAGAAATCTAGCAGTTAGTCCAGAAAAGTTATTAGAAATTCAGGAAAATACAAAAAACGATTCAACTTTAAGTCAAATTATTTCACTTTGTCAAAATGGTTGGCCAGAACATAAAAAGTCAGTCAGTCAGTTGGTCAAACAATATTTTACTATAAAAGATCAGTTACATGTTGTAAACAATATATTATTCAAAGGCAATAACATTGTGATTCCAGAGAATATGAGAGAGTATGTCATAAAATTAGTTCATGAAGGTCACCAAGGTATCAATAGTTGCATACGCCTGGCAAAATCTACAGTTTATTGGCCTCAAATGAACAATGATATTGAGAAATATATAAACCAATGTCATGTTTGTCTAACTTTTCGAAGAAATAATTCAAAGGAGCCATTGATACACCATGACTATAAAATGCTACCTTTCAGTAAAGTAGGTATAGATATTTTTGAAATAAATGGTAATAAGTACTTAATATTAATAGACTATTTTTCAAAGTATATAGAGCTTGCATTATTAACGTCAGATTCAAATTCAAAGACAGTCATAACTCACTTAAAATCTATTTTTGCCCGTCACGGAATCCCAGAAGTTATGCATTCAGACAATGGACCTCCTTTTAACAGTAAAGAATTTAAAAATTTTATT